ATGATAACAATGACTACCAAGGTTAAAGTCTCCGCAGGCAATGAGTCTAGTCAGCCCTTGATAGTTGTTACAGGCATCTGGTTGAACCCTCAAAACAACTCTGCATTGTTATTCTTACTTTGTAAGTGAGATAACCCAAGCTTAGAGACATGGGGGAAGTATTGCCCCAACTCACAGCGATAAGTTGAAGTACTGGGATTTGAGCTGGGGTCTCTCCTCACACACCTGTAACTAGCCACTGAGTTAAGGGGTGGGGAGAGGCAGCATGTGCAAAAACATAAAAAACAAAACAAAAAACAGGGCCCTTACGACTTGCAGTTCCCTTCTAGTTGGCAAAAGTTTCTAAATTAAACTAGACGTAAATTTTCTGCTACCAGAGGCTTGTGTACCAACCGGTTTATTCTCCTCCCAAGGACGAGCGCGTCAGCGACGACTCAACAGAGCATGACCAAGGACGCTGCTCAGCTGAGAGCTGAGTCACATGGTGCACATTTTTCCCCCTTGAAAAAGGAAATGGTCGGATGGGAAAAAAAGGGAAGAGGGGATATTACTACATTATCCATAGCTAGAGTGGCCAAACTTTACTTTGAAGTCTAGGGACGAGACGTAAAATGAAACCAGAACACATGACAGGATCTGCGCTTCCGGGCTTTAAGCAGACGGAAGAAGGACGCATGCGTCCTGCGCGCTCCTCTGGCATCACCCCGCCCCCGGCCCTTCAGGGAGCGCTCTGCGCAGGCGCAGGCGCAGGTTGCGGCAGCGCCGGGCCTCAGCTGATACTGTTGTTGTCCCGCCCCTCCCCCATCCGAACTCCGCAGCTGCCCCGCGCTCTGGGGCAGTCGCTCCACCCCCCAGCACCTGGGACTGTGGACTCCGCGACCCTGTCCTAGGGCCTTTCTGCGCTGAAGGAGCCGGGGACTGCGCAACGCCCCGCGTGCCGGTGAGCGACCCCGGACGTGCAGTTCCCAGGTCCATTTCTAGAGCGGGGCTGAGCGGCGGCGCCCTGGGATGAGCCGGGCCTGACGAGGAGGTGGAGGAGGGGAGGCCGCCAGGGGCTGCACAGAAGCCAGTGATGGAGGTGGTGTCACCTCCTCTTACCCGGGCCCAGCCTCCTGCCAAGGAGCACCTGCTTTTGGCCCAAGCCCGGCACTCGGGGTTGATTTTAGGCCTCCCCGACACCTTGAACGCCAGGTGGCCCTTGGTATCGCTGTTCTTGAATTTTCTTGCACTATTCCCTGGATCTTATTTTTAACCTTTACAGAGTAGGCTTTGTGCTGTGTTTTGTTTATGGAGCTCTTTGAAAGGCGCTGGTTTCCTTCGTTTTCAAGCCCTTTCAGAACTAAAAGCAGTGTCTACACAGAAGATCACGACCCATTTAAATTGGATGGAGCGCTGTATATGTGTGTTTATATATAAACACATAGACACACATATGTGTATGTGTATATATATTTTACCCCCTTCTGCAGACTGAGTCTAAGATAGGTGTTTGCTGGTAAATTAAGAGACTGGTGTAAAAACGTTGAGCATAGGCAGGAGGAGAACGTGGCCTCGCACCCCTTTTTAAACTGAGGAGTTTCCAAGAATAGAAGTGATTAAACCTGTCAGTTTTCTGAAGAAATCTAGTAGGGAGGGCAGGGATTCCAAGTACCTGACATAGTCTGGCACTTGTCCAAACACTTACCTAAAGCAGAATCAATGAAGGTACCTGTCAGATTAGAACAGAAAACTGGTCCAGACCTGGAGAGATGCACCCGACACCCCAGCTATGTTGACTGAGATCCCAGAAAGGGTGCTCCTGAAACCTTCCTTACTGCAGAGGCCCAGTGATCCCAGTTTGTCTCATGTTCCACATAGACCCCAAGGTCACAGTGTATGGGAACAGTGATGTTAATTCACCCCTGAACCACTTGTGGCTAGAAAGGGTTTGTTTGGCTCAGACAGAATGTAATTGAGC